TCATCACCGAATGCATATGGATTGATGGAGATGAGTATCTCGATTTTTCAGAATTTCAAATCAAACAAAAGAGGAAGAAAAAGAAACATGAGAGATGGGAGGAAATGAGGAATTAACGAAGAAGGAAGAGATAGTGGAGAACGAGCCTCAATTTCACCACTAGATTTGAAATCGCTGTTGGCTGCCGCCGCTCATCGTCACTCCTCCGCTGCTTATCATTGCTCATTGTTCCTCACCATGGATCGTCATCTGTCTCCATCAGTGCTCATCTCACTTTTGAAGATGAGGAATGGAGAAGTCTGGTGCGTACAACTTGTTGTTGCAAGGGAAGAAGCTGGTGCGGACACTTTGTGTTGCAGGGGAAGAAGATGTGCGGACAGGGGGGATAACGGAGAATCTTGGTGCCGCATCATTAAAATAACTAGAAGGGGGTAAAATTGTAATAATGGTTCTATTTGAGGAATAAAAATATACATACTCCTATTTTGGAATTTAAGCATTACAACACGAATGAAAGCAAATACATTTATGATGGGCTTCTCCACCGTTATTATATTCTCCAAAGTGCCATTATATTATGGATTAACCCTTGGCAATGAATGACGCGTCCTGAAATTTTCAATTCCTCAAGAAGAGGCAAATATTTCCATGTGCTTGATTTGAGTCGCACACTAGTCATGCGAATGCATGTTTTACTCATTTAAGGAGGGCTTCTATTAATAAATTTGGTTAAGGAAAAATATATAGGATCCCACATGAGTTCCTTAGCTTTTACCAAAATGTTGGTTCTTTCCAACTGATTGTATGATACCCGATGTTCCTTAACTTGGAGACAAAATTTACCAAAATTTGTCACCAAACAAGAAAGTCGGGTTATATATATAAACACCACATCCCAAAATTTCAAATTCCTTAAAGAAATTAAAAAGAATATTTCCTCACGCTTAGTTTGAATTGCATGCGAGGTTTACGCTAGTTGCTCGCTTCTCTCTATTAAAGTTTAGCAAAGAAAACATTTATTGTATTTTGCATGGCTACTTTCAAGAAGGGGACAGTTCAATACTATCTTCCCCATTGTATTTATATCAAAATACAATGATTTTTCTTTCCCATTGTCAGGGGCCAATGTACGTTGTGATTATGGTGGGGGGTGAAGTCCAAGATAATCGCGGTTTTCTTGATTTTTGTAGTGTACTTTTTATTTTTCTCATTTAGTCCATCTCACTAATTAAGATTTGTACGAGTAACTTATGAATAAGTGAATGGGTACATCTGGTAATTATTAATGTCACTGGATAAGTATTTTCTAATTTTCAACATTACTCTTCTATTAATAGCAAACTATCCCACACTATTTTACTACATCCATCCCTTAAATTTTTGATTTTTCAAGTTTGAAGTTTGAACCATTATTTTGATTAGTACGTACTTCATATAATATTATGAAAGTTATAAATTTTATACTATTATGAATGTAAATTAACAAATGAATATCATTTTATATTATAAATAATTTCCTATAAAAATATACTACTATAATTGATTTAAGTTGAACATAATTGACCAAAATTTTTAAATTAAAGATGGTAAACTTTTAAGGAATGGAGGGAGTACTTATTTTCCGAATAAACCCAAAGCAGCTTGATGCCTATTATTGTTCTGCACCCCCGAGATAACAAATAATGCGAAGAACCCTATCCTCTATTTGCAAATTCTTTCAATAAAAAACGTAAAATAAGCGGTGGCATATACACTATGGGGGCAGCTGCCTCGCTCAACCCCAACCCAACCCAAAATAAGAGTTAAATGTAGAAAAAAAAAATCTAAAATAGGATTAAGAGTGTTTAATTTTCATTCATATTAAAAGAATGAAATGATAAAAATTTATTAAATTTTGTTATGTTTAATTTATATTTAGGTAATTTTTTCAAATTTTATCTGCAATTGAATATTTATACACATGTATATTAAATTTAATCAAACAAAATTAATAATGAATCTGCTCTTTGTGAAATATGAGACTAAATTATTGTGCAAGTTTGCTCCCATTCGTCAAATTTCCTGAATATATAATAAAGAATCCTGTAGTGTATGTGAGCGTGAAAAAAATCCGCACTATGACTTTAAATAGAACAAAATGGGCGACTCACGCTTCTGCAAATTGCATATGATCTTCGACAGACTTTTCATAATGGGTAACACAAATTTACAAAAGCCCTCATTTCGATATCAATCACGAGCTGACTAGTGACCACTCATTGTTTATTTTTCAACCGTTCACACTTTTGCTCTCATTTTATCACTACCTGGACACTACTTCTAGCATCAAAGATGTGGACCCGTTGAAATATTTTCTTGGAAGCCATGTTGAAGTCTCCTTTTGGCATCGTTTTAAGTCAACGCAAGCACACACTTGACATTTCATTTTGGAAGAAATCGGATTTTTCTGAGGTCAACCAAGTCTCTTTGATATGGAACAGAATTAAAAAAAAAAAATGGACATTTGTTATATCTCATTGTCACATGTTATGACATCGTATTTTATTTTGATTTCACCTCATGACATATTCTTCCCCTTTTCTACCATACATCAAGTTTCTTGTTCACTTTATAATAGTGTGCAACCTTCTAATACTAAAAATTGAATATTCTACACGTATTCAAACAAATGTCAAATTGAAGAACCCGTTTGGTAGCATAAAAATCGGCTGAAGTGACCGTATTGGCTGATTCTGCTGATTTAAGAAAAAAATATTTTAAAAAAATATTTTATTAGTAAAACAAAGAAAAAATTATATATAAATAGCTAAAATGGTCATCTACGGTAACTTCAGCCAATACAGCCAGAAAAGTAACTCCAACCTTACTTTTTCTGCTTATTACACAATTCAGCGCGCGAAAGAAAAAATTACGTGTTTGGTGAAAAAGTTAGCTGATAAGCCGAAAAACAGTGTTGCCAAACGGCCTCTTAATCTTTTTTTTTGAGATTATTTTATTGATTGAATGATTGATACTTGTTTACTACAATTGAATAAAATGTTGTTTTGGAGGATTTATTTTACAAAGCAATTTATGTTTGAGATAGATTCATAGATTCACTAACCATTTCTTTTCCTGCACTCTAAATTCTCCAAATAATAGATGTTTTTTATTATTCTTTGAGAGTTATATAACTCTCAAAGACTTATTTGCGTCCAAAATTTTTGTATTAACAATTGTCGCTAATTTTATATCTTATGCATCAACTTGTCGAGGCAAAAATTATATAAAATAGATATTGTAATCTATTTTATAATATCTTATACAGCATTTGCATAGGCAGAGATCCTCTTCACTAGAAAGGTTTTATGCCTATCTACGAATTTGACAGTCATTTTAGAATTTCAAGATAAAAGATAATTAAAACCCTAGTGGAATCCATTTTGTGAGGGACCACACATATATGTTTAAAAAATTGTTAAAGCATCTTCAATGCTAAAACGTTAACGGTGCATATGTGGCATGAGAAATACCAATAAAAAACAATAAATAGAATATCTCTCTCCTTATTTGAACGATCTTACATCTTTTTGGTAAGTTTTCCTTCACAATGTCAAGCACAATGTCTAGATGTAGACATTGTGGTTGACATTGCAGACAAAAACTTACCAAAAACACATAAGACCATGGAAAGAAGGAGAGAGAAATGTCATAAAATCAATATTTTGTGTCTATATCAATATTTTGTGTCTACAATGGCACATGTACATCGTGCACATTGTAGCATTGAAGATGCTCTTAAATACTACGTAGTTGGTTTAAGTACTCCTAATTTAGAATACCAAACCGTTTTATTCTTATTTGTGGATTTTTTTCATGTTTAAATGAGGTGTCAAGTTTTTGTTTTTCACTTTCCAATCACCTATGTAAGTACTTACTCATTTTAATCGAGATGCGGTTTTTACAAAAGATGCTTAGAGTATTAGGGTATGTTTGGTACAATTAGCTAAAAACATACTTTTACGAGCTTTTTAGTAACTGTTAGCATTTAGTGACTGAAAGATCTTTAAAACAAAAGGTGATAGCTGTTTGGTAAAAAACTGACTGTTTGATTAAGTTCGGTTTGATATACAAGCTGTTAGGACTAATTAATACTAAAAGTCACGAGCTTTTCTCAGATGCTACACCCGGTTGCATCTCAAAAAAGATCTTTTAATTTTTCAAAAGCTCTTAAAAAATGTTATGCCTAACATACGACTAGAGTCTTTTAAGGTCTTCTTAAAGAATAGAGAAGTTGGAAGCTAAAATCTTTTGTGTGCCAAACATAGCCTTAATAGAACTGATTAGAGTATTAGACACACAAAACACACGAACTCCAGCACGTATTAAAATTTCTAGACAAGGGAAAATGGATAATTTAATTTTAAATGTGAAAGAAACAACACCCTCTTAGGCACTTGTTTGGATACTAACGAGTAATATGTAAGTGCATCTCCAATAGGGGTGTGAATTGCACCCTTAAGAAAATGGACACGTCATCCATATAAATAGCCTGAGGCTGATTTGGACTCATAGACTATTAAAATGATATTCCCTCTCCAATGGTTTCTTCTGATCGTTCTCTTAACAAAAAATAATAATTTAATCATTATTCATGTGCAAAGCATTATTATTTTTAGTATACGGAGTAGTATTTATATATACATACGCAATACACCCCTCCAATGGTTTCTTCTGATCGTTCTCTTAACAAAAAATAATAATTTAATCATTATTCATGTGCAAAGCATTATTATTTTTAGTATACGGAGTAGTATTTATATATACATACGCAATACACCCCTCCAGGATAGGGAAAGAATAGCAAAACCTGCCGATTAACTTCACCCTCCACCCGCTGATCATTTCTATACGCACTACAAAGGTTGAGTTCTCAAGGTTATTTTCCATCTGTAAAGACGGGTCGCTATGACAGTATGACCAGCAGGGGCTGCACCCTAGGATTAGATGGAAAAATTGTTCCAGAAAACTTGTAGTATATGGTTCCAAAAAAAATTGGTAGAATTTATTTTTTGCTGAGTTGGCAATGGGATGGGCTTTCTGAAACTAGGTGGGATAGACATCGTCCCTTTTTTTCATTCCATGTCATCACCACAGCCATAGTCCATATTGCCGTTGGATATGTTTTTTTTTCCCGAAGTTTGATGTGGCAATGCATTTAGAGGAATTGATGCTCCCGTTAAAGATGCTCTAAGCAGCCCCTCCCACGGCCCACCCTTCCCGGCCCAGTTCTATCTATTAAGTCAAAACAAACATAAAAATAGGCACATTTTGTGCAGCCGAAGTATAGAATGCACAAGTCCAATATCATAACAACGCACAACCCAAACAAGCATTTGGCACAGTAACTACTTTATTGTAGCAAGAACACTGAACAACTCCAGACTACAAACAAAGTCATTGTGATTTACTGTTTGTTCAGGCAGTGGACAGGAAACGGTTCATCCATGAGCGGAAACGAGACCAGGCCAGCTCCACAGTGGCATTCTCAACATCAGACTCTCCCATGGTTCTCCTCCTTTGTACCCCGTCGGAGGAAATGTTCATAAATGCATGCCCAGTCTTTGGATAGAAATGCACCTCATGTTCAACTCCAGATTCCTTCAGCTTCTGTTCCAACTCTTTCCCAGCCTGAGAAAAAAGACCCTATTCAGTATTTCATACTCCCTTATGTTCAAAGAAATACTAGTATTTCTAAATCTTTTTTGAAGGTGTTTTACCAACTTTCATAACAATTCTGCAAGTTTGTGATTATATTGCGAAAGGCACAATCTTTAAAGATAATAATAACAATGCATTAAAAGCACCTGCGATTTCTTTTCATTTTTCACTTTATCAGTCTATGCTTTTTGGCACGTCAGCCCATGCTATAGATTAATAGAAGGATATGAAAAATGACAAAATCTACAAAATTGACCCAAATAATGAGGTTTTCTGATACCTTAATATCTGAAAATCCAGCAAAACCATCATCCTCGCCAAAATGAGCCTGCACAGGTGCCTTAGCCTTGGCAGGGTCTGCCAGCTCAGAAGAAGGGACTCCATAGAATGCTACAACAGCATCAACACCTGATACTAAAACAGAACTTGCAATGGCAAGGGCACCACCCATGCAGTATCCAGTAACTCCAACCTATACCATTGTTTTAACCAGTAAAGGAAAACTCATACTTCGTATATAAGAGCAACCAAATATGCAAGTTACGGGAGTAATATGACACTCATAAGGGAAATTTTACACATCACTTCAAGTGGCAGACAAATAACCACCACCAACTTACTTGCAAACATCCAGATGATGTCCATGAGAGCATCCACATCCATTCCGTTACGGACGTGATTAAGAGATTAAGAGGAAGAATATTGAGAGCAATACCGATTAAGAACTTCCCCACCCAAGGCAAGAGCATGTGGCGCCAAGCCTAGTTAAGACTCTATGGAATAATATCCAAAACTATTGATTTCATACAAGTGACAATGCCTTCGTGAACAAGTATTACAGTTATCCCAAGTCTATTACACTACTGCTATTGAAAATATATTAACTAAAGTAGAATACCAATAATAATATAACAAGATCAGTGATAATAATTGGAACCCGACTTTCAAAATACTTCTTCATGTTCCTTTTGCACAACTCTAACACGAGCGACACCCATATCACAATCTCCCAACATAGCTAATCTGATTGTACGTGGTCACTCACTGCCAAATCATTTCCACATTAAAACAAAAACTAAATAATCACACCATTTAGCAACTCCCACCATATTCTCTAAATAATATTATCTTTTGTGTGTCCTAGACACATCTATCAACTCTACTTTAACAAATTGATAGAGAGCAGGGAGAGCAAGGGGTGGGGACGGGCTTGATCCCACCTTCGTGGGCTGGCTGCGGGCAATTTAACTAATTTTAATTATTCTTTTCTTTTGTTTCCTAATTGATTTTGTTTCCTAGTATGATTTAATTAGGATTTCTATTCTTATTAGAATTAAAGGTTTCCTATTTCTATTTAGTTTCCTAGAATGGTTTAATTAGGACTTCTATTAGAACTAGAGGTTTCCTATTCTATTTAGTTTCCTATTATGATTTAATTAGGATTCATATTCTTATTAGACTTAGAGGGTTATTTAGCCTTTTGGCTCTGGGCAACGGTATTTTTATCGTTGATTATCTGGGCAACGGTTTACCCCGTTGTTTTTTATTTTTCTGTTCTCATCACAAATAATCTGAATTCACATCGTGCTTCCACTTATTGTACCAAATAGCCCCTCTCACCCATCCATCATACTAAAAACAATCTTCCACTGCACCCACTTCATCCCCAAATAATCACATGGATGGAGACACCTCTTTAGAGCTTGTATTATGTATAAATTAGAGAGTCAAAACAACCCAATTAGTGTTCTAAAGGAATCACTAAGACAGAATAATGTTTTCAGAAATGTTAGCAGTTAGAGATTGGAAAAGATAGAATAGAACTTACCAATATATGTTCAAATTTAAGAAACTAAAGACATCCCTTTAGTATATAAATCTCAACTAACAGATGACCAATGGGTACAGCCATTGCACAGCAGACAACTCAAAATGGTCATCAAATAGTATGGAGGGATACTCCATATATAGAGATTGTAGTACTGCTTTTTTACTGTTTGGAAAATTTTTTTCCTCCAATTTGTACCAGAAAGACTGTCAACTCCAAAGAATGTGGTAATGCAGCTTTTGTTTAAAAAGTTTCTTACTCAAACTTGTAAGAGAAAGCATGAGAACTACAATAAAATTGCAATTCTCCTCATCTTAAACCCCGACCTCTTACCTTTTCCCATTAAGCACCACTTTAAGAGTACATATAAACATGTATATTTATAGGAATTACGAAGCAGAAAAGAACAACCTTCTTTGAACCATTCTCTTTTAGCCAATTAACTGAGGCATGAATATCTTTCACAGCTCCTTGCCAATCAAGCCCTTCCATCAAATGTTGTGCTTCTGCAACATCTAATCCAACTTTTCCACGGTACAGACTAACATTGAAATGGAAAAAACAAGTTACACTCTTAACTCTTTTACCTCTCAGAGAAGGGACAAATAGAGCTAAACTTACGTACAAGGGTCTTACTCGGGTATAAGTGCCTTGTAACCAGAGCCAAATTGAGAGATCTTCTGAGCATGGTTTTTTATCTCAAAGTCCACACCCCACCATTCCTGAAGCACAACAATTCCAGGAGCATCTTCTTTTCCAATTACATATGCATCAAATGTCTGGTTGATATTTTTAGCAAGAAAAAGATCAAGAGATCAAATTTTTGCTTGCCATGAGGTTTTGCAAAATTAAATGCAAAAACTGAAGCTAAAATAAGTGGACAAAGAGTTATAATGAAACTTTAAGTAGTACACAACCAAATATGTTCATCCACAAATGATACAAATCCATCAAATGGACGTCTCTAGAAGAATTTCAAACCTCTTTCGTGATTTCTTTGCTCATTTCATTTTATTTAAAAATATTAAGCATTTCAGAGGAGAGAAACTGATTTACATCATCATACTATAAGAATAATGTAGTCTAGAAAAAAAGAGTACACAAGGTGCCCTGGCACACTAGTACTCTACGATTATTTGACTGTTCTGTGCGCCAATGGACAATTAGGAAAATGTTCTTCTTTCTAAAATCAAATTAAAGACTGCCAAGAGTCATCCCAAGCAAGCTCTTAACCATCAAAGTTTCAACTAGGAACCACATAGATTGCAGAAAATTTTATAGCTTTGATAGGTAGAACGAACAGTTTAACGAACATCCCTCACAAAAAGATAGTATAACGAACTGAAGATCAACTCAAACGATTGAATCTATTATTTGAATAAATGGAAAGCAGGAATTGTATTTAGCATTAGTATTAAAGTCGCTCTGATCTTGATCAGATGAATTTTGTTGCTCTTTATGGTTTAGCGATTTGCTTAACTCAATCAGTGTGTAAGATAGACAACATAATTTCCTTAACATATACGGAGTATGAGGTAATGGATTATACAACAACAAAATCAGAAAATTGTGCATATTTATAGTTTGTTCTTCAACTTCAAAAGGGTTCTCACGACTGGTTTTTATCGCACCGATTTTCTAGTTTTTAAAAGCATTTCTCTTTTGATTATAAAAAAAAAGCATTTCTCTTTATTATGCATAAATGGAGTAGTGGATACATACGGTGTCGTCCCTCTGAATCTGAACCTTCTTGAAAGGAGCAGATGAATCGGCCATGAGGCGAACCTGAAGCTGAGAAGCAGAGACGAGGAGAGGATAGACTTTCCGGGCAAGAGCAATGGACGGAGCTGTTCTGGGGCCACTGAAGATTCTAGAACCAGTACGAATCATGGTTTGCACAGACGATTTTTGTTCTATAGGTTTTACTCTTTTTTATTATGGACAATTTTGTTTTTTTGAAGGGAAAACTGTTAAATAAGTCCTTATATTTTTACGAAAAAGTCAATTGAGTCCTCGTACTTTAAAGTGAGTCAATTAAGTCCTTGAAGTGCTAAAAAATGCTCAAATCAGCTATTTAGCCGGTTGGATACCAGCCATGTCGGTCATTGCTGACTTGGAAGCCTATGTGGCAACTTTTTTAATTTTTCCTTTTTTTTTTTCCTTTTTCTTTTTCATTTCCTTTTTTTCATTCTTCTTTCTTTGCTTCTTCTTCCATGCGTCTCCCCTCCTAGGGTACTAGTACGTTCTTTAATTTCAATTTCTTTCTTTGTTTTTTTTGTTCCTTTCGTTCTTTCCTTTCTTACCGGAGAAAATATCAATCATCCGTTATAGACTTATAGCCCACAGATTCCTCAATTTTCGTCCGCACCACCCGTCGCCGGTTGCCGAAAACATCCCCTTTTGCCGCCGCCCGCCGCCACAGCTTCTCTAGGCTCCACCGCTCGTCGCCCACTACGACTTCTAATTCCTTCTGTTTGCTAACCGCCGCCGTCGCCCACTACATCTTCCTCAAATTCCCCAACCGGCCAACCGCCGTTGTGCGCCGCCCGTCTTCAAGAATTCCCCCAACCGCTGTAGTACTCCGTCTGTGGCCCTGAGCGTTGTCAACCTGTGCCTCCTGCCGCCTTTCAAAAGAAAGAGGGTCAGGATTTCAGGAAGAAAATGCAAAGTAAATAATCTGGGGTGATCTGAGGCAGGGGAAGAAAACAAACGCGAGAATGGGTTTAAGAAAGAGGAAAAAAGAAAAGAAAGTAAAAACAAGAAAATATAACTGGGAACAGTAAAAAAAAGAAGTCAATTGACTTTGGAGGTGGACGGATAGAGGGGATACCGGTTGGTAACCGATTAAATAGCCAAATTGACCATTTTTTAATACTTCAAGGACTTAATTGACTCACTTTAAAGTACGAGGACTTAATTGACTTTTTCATGAAAGTACAGGGACTTATTTGACAGTTTTCCCTTTTTTGAATGAAAAACTATTTGTATTAATATAGATCAACACCGACAACAATTATTCGTAATCAATTAATACTATCAATTCTACGGCTAGATTTAGAAACGATCACCCTTGAACAATTATACGAATCGCTAACCACCAAACGGGTGTGACACAACAATCACTGACCATAACAATAAAAACATCAACAACAAATAGAGCAACATAAACAAATTTAACGCAAAAGTAAGACCATAAAAAATAAAATAATTGACAAATACTTCAAGCTCCTTCATGCTAGTAGTATTCTTGAACTATCATCTTCCCGGGCGGCGGTTCAAAAGGGAGGCAATCCACCGATCTGTCTTCTCCCTTACTCAGAACTCAATTCAGAAATTCTCAAGCGATTATTCAATCAAATGTATCAATCACATTCCTCCATATTCGATTCATAGCAACACATCCAAAAACATCAACCATAAAGAAGCACACCATTGAGAGGCAGAGCGTGGTAACGACAGTCTTTCCACTGTCACTCCAAATGACGTAAGCCGCCTACTGGAAAGACCACCCTAGACGAAAGCTAGGAAGAAAACCACTTATACGCTAATTCCAATTTGTTATCTATCAGACAAACTTGCTGCCCTGCAATAGACGTCAAAATTTTGGTGGCGGCTCACACAGCTCCTAGGGAGCGAGAAGCTTAGGACTTCATGTCTCCCATTGTAAGGTTCTAATTCACACTATTTTTGGAGGGATGGCATAGTCACGTACTCTATATTATTCAATCATGAGTTATAAATCTACGGATAATTTTGTTTTAAAAACGGACTAAACTTTTAAGTACATTTAAGCAGCTTTTTTAAGAGAACATTGTCAATTTAGTACTTGTACTATTATGAAAAAGTCAATTAGATTTTCATATTTTAGAAAATATCAATCAAATTCACGAACATTGAAAAAACATTCAATTGTGTCAATTAGGAGGTTACCCGTCACTCGCTAATGTGACACATATGTGGCCGCCTAGTCAGCAGTGACTTTGCTGACGTGACGCACACGTGGAAGCCCAGGCAGTCATTCATAGATGACGTGGCACACCTGTGACAGCCTAGTCAGCAGTGACTTTGCTGACGTGGCACACATGTGGAAGCCCATATAGTCATTCCTGGATGACATCGCTCACATGTGGACCGCCACATGTGTGCAACGTTAGCGGGTGGCTGCTGGTAGCGGGTAACTTGTTAATTGACCCAATTAAACATTTTTTAAAGTTCAGGGATTTAATTGGGTTTTTTAAGTATGATGATGTAATTGACTTTTTCGTTATAATACGAGAACCAAATTGATAGTTTTCCCACTTTTTTAATTGAAAATTTAAACTAGTGATAGATTATCCCAAACAGAAGTAAACATTTTTATCGGTCGTAAATTAATATGGACTATGAGATCCTTTAAAGTAGACATGAGATCGTTTCAAAACAAGAGACCCAATAACACTAAATGAAAATGAAAATGTTGAAATTTTTTATATTTTCGTTAACAATAGATTTTATATGGTGGGTTGCTCATGAGTTTAAGGATTTGGTTCATTAATTAATGTGGTTTGTCACAAACCAATAACAAACCTATAACACATACTTTGTCCTCACTCGTGCGTGTCTTGAGAAACTTCTCACGCACTTTATCATCACTCGTGCGTGCCTTGAAAAACTTCTCATGCATTTTGTACTCACTCGTGCGTGGCTTGAGAAACTTCTCAGGATGTCATTCATCCCAAGACGACTCCTGTACAAGCACACTTAATTCGGAGTTTTTATTCGATGAACTCCTTTAAAAGGAGATGCACCTTGTTGGTACGAACATCATATTAAACCCTTTTAATCAATCTCAAGTATTACGCTCAGTTTTACAAACTATCCACTCTATTGTGATTAGAAATTTATACTATGTATTAAATTTAGCTATGAAAAGTAGTATGGACTACGAAGTATCCAAGGTAACAACTGAAAGTTTTTTTTACACACATTACTGTTTACACACTTGTACACACTGTCTGTGAAAGCCTTTTTTTTGTCTGTCACATACACAAACAAAGCATACATTTTTTTGTGACAAACAAAAAAAACTTCACAGCTTGTGTGTAAATCGTAAAAGTGTGTACAAAAAGCTTTTTTGTCAAGGTAATAATTAAAAGTGATGTGTTTCTATCAAGTGACCTAATATTTTGATTTTGACATTCAATTCGGGGTGCATAATACAATGATGTTGGGCGTACACAATATAAATAACCAAAAAATTACTCCCTGCCAGTTCTCTACCTTATTTTCCTCACCTTTGTTCTCTTTTCACACATTTCTCTCTTCCCACATTTCTCCCTCCTCCTTCCATACGAACGCCCTTCCTCACTCACCTCTTCCCTCTCTTTTCTATTTCTTTTCTTCTCATTCTTTTTCATTTCTTTATTATGTAATCACCACATCTCCTTTGCATCTTCTTTTTTCCTATTTTATTATTATCGGAGATTCGTCGGAAAATAATTTTAGAAAATCACCTGAATGGGAACTTTAACATATTCCATCTTACTCACATCTTCAAGTTTTTCCTAAATCAAGAAAATAATCAGGAATGAAAAGTCGCCGGAAAACAAAACTGAAAAATTAGTAAATTCAAACTAGTGCCTGTGCACATGCATTATTTGTATGTGCATAGACATCAGTTGTCTGTGCACAGAAATTAGTTTTCCGTGCATAGACAAAAAAATGTCGATATAAATATACATTAGTTGTTTGCAACAGACAAAAAATAACTGTACACAGATAATAGTTATATGTGCACATACATAGGTTTCTGTGCAACAAAAGGCCAATTAAAATACTATTCACATTGATTTGCATTATTCTTTTTGAGTTTTTGCAGATATGTTTGCGTCAATTGCACGCAATCCAATATCTATGCACATACACTAGTTGTTTGTAACATACAAAAAAACTAATGTCTATGCACAAGCACTGATTTGAACTTATTTATTTATAGATATAGAAATTTAATTCGTTTTCAATTTATATTTTTCTTATAGACAATTTATATCAATAATTAGGACGACTTGGACAACAAATTTCGCGACTACTCCTTTTCAATTTCCTGGAGAGTTTCTCGTGACTCTGAAACTCCGATTATTTTTCGGTCTTGAAAGATGATAATGGTGGAGATAGTGGAGATGAAAGTATAATGATAAAAATGGAGGATGATTATAATATTAAAGATGAAAAATGAAAAATGAATTAAAGAGAAATGTGAAAAGAGACGTGGGGTAGAAAAAAAAAGTAAAAATTTACCCCTTATATAGGGTGTACACAATTGGGTAACTCAATGTGTACAGATGGCCGAGTTGCTTATAATAACGGTTTTGCAAAAGTTTGGTATATTGTATATTATGTGTCCTACTTTAATCCTAATATGATGTGTTACACATATTAATTAGTTAGCGTGATTATTTACTAGATTCCAACTTGTGTATTGTTCTTTTGGTGATAGGATATTCGCATAAGGTACCATAAACTCATTTTAAAAAATACAAACATAATTTTTTTGGTTTGTACTAGTAATTCTTGAAGACCAATAATGATATGTCCAAATTGAAGAATGTTTTTCCAAATCTATTAGTATTGTACAGTACGGAGGTGAAACAGTCAGTATTGATGGAGTATATTTCCATATATTTCAGGGGCCCAAATCAAACGTTTGGAGAAGCAATTCAAGTCATATGTCAGACAGGCCAAGACCGAGATCTCATCACCAGTCTAGCTTCACGCTGGTAGACATATTTGCTTCGGACCAAGCTGCTTCAAGGAGGCTGAGCCCAGTGACTGCCAATCTACCACGTACTATAGATATCCTGCTAAAGATATCAAAAGAGACCAAAGAGACCCAATCGATATCTCAATTGTTTGACACATAGTCGTTTCCTTGGCATCATAACAATAAGGTGCA